CCCCCCCCCCCCCCCCCCCCCCCCCCCAACCCAAAAGCCAAAAAAAAACTCCAAACAAAAAAGAGGACCCCCCCCCCCCCCCCCCCCCGCCCCCCTTTTTGTCGTCACACAACAGTCTCGAAGAAAAGGTCACTCACAAGAGGATAAAATGTCGCGCCTGTTGTCTTGGCTGTTGAGTGACTATTGGGTATCGGAATTGGGCGTGCGCGCAGGTCGCTGCTGGAGAGAGAGGACAACATCGTGTGCGCGGACTGCACCGCAAAACTCCCTACCTGGGCCAGCGTGAACACCGGAGTCTTCCTCTGCACGCAATGCGCAGGTTGCCACAGGTAAGGAGAACAGGAAAGACCCAAGCGACGCACCCGCTAGTCAGCGGGTAGGTGTTGGAAGGCAACAACGCACGTGCGAAGCCTCTTACGGCGGAGCGGGCAAAACTTAGGGTGAGTATCCCTAACCCTTAAACCTAAGCCTATGCCTAGGTAAAACTCGAGCACGCCGGAGCACGGCCACGCAATGTCGGGAAAAAGGGAGGGGGAAGGTACGCACTAACCGTACGTGTGAAAAGGCCGCAACTGATATGGAGGTAACCGGTTCCTTCACTCTCTTTGTTGTGCGGCGTGTTGCAGGTCGTTGGGAGTTCACATCTCGAAGGTGCTCTCGGTACAACTGGACGACTGGACGAAGGCACAGGTGATGATGATTCACGAGCCTAAGGCACAGCGTTAAGCACGGCCGCCGCCTTGCGCTCGTTTTGTTCAACGATAGATGTAGTCAGCTCTCCACACCGGACCATGGACAGGCACAGCAGTCAGTTCGCCCGTGACGTACGGGAGTCTTCCAAGCTCTTGACCAGCAACTCTGTAAAACATGGCGCCGTGCTCGTTGTTCGTCGTACAAAGTACGGCGGTGACATGACACGCTCCATTGTCAATCTTACGCAAACGTCAACTCTTCGTCGATCTAGCCGCATCTAGCTTGAAACCTGTCCTCCCTCGCAACTCGCCCCCCCTCCCAAAACCGCGTTTTGCTACTAGGTGGAGTTCATGGCGGGAATGGGCAACAAAATGGTCAATTCCTTCCTCGAATACCACGTGCCCAGCACCTGGCTCAAGCCTAGCCATCTCGAGCCCAGGGACTACAGAGACGCCTACATCAAGGTGGGTTCGACTTAGGGTGGGCTTGAGGGTCTCTTGTTGCATCCTGTGTGTCGTCTAGGTTGATTGTCTCGCCCTTCCGGTAGACCGAGACGATGCGTGGAGTGAATCGCTTGAGGTCTACTCGACGCAGCCGATGCCAAACCTTGCGGCATGATTCTGGACTGGACGATGTTTCTCGCCCGTCGGACGTTCCACCTTTTTTTTTTGCCGTGGCGCCTACTCTGCCCGCGCCAACAAGGGTGAAACGCCGTTCCACCACTTCCCCTTTGGAGAACGCCTCTTCTCATCCCTTGTACAGCCACACCAGCCGTAGGGTACAAAGGGGTTTCCTATTGACCTTAGTTATGGCTTCTTCTCAACCCCCCATCGGCCACAACCACCAGGCCAAGTACCAGAGCCGGTTGTTCGAGTTTCGGGGGAAGAAAAAGCCGGTTATCAAGCCTCCCCCGCCGGTGGATCACGCCTCGGCGATGGTGTCAGGGGTGGACGGAGACGCGGGCGGGGACGGGTCCGGGGAACGGGGCGGGTCGGGGTTTTCGCACGGCATGACCGAGTACATCGGCTTCGTGAACATTAACCTTGTGCGGGGGGAGAGCCTCGTGCACGCTGGGTTCGGCCAGGTGTGTACAAGAGGGCGGGGGAAGACATGCAGAGAGAAAAAACAGACGGACTGACAGACAGACGTACTGACACACAGACAAATAGAAAGGTGTAGGGCGAGGAAAGCAGCTTGCCGCATTGGCTTGCGTGGGTGTCGTTCGCGCAGGCGGGCAGGCAGGCTTGCAACAAGCAGCGCGACCGTGATTTTTCGGAGCTGGGCTAGTTTGCAGAGAACATCGATCGGCCGCCGGAGCTCCTCGGGAATTCTCAATGAGTTCCTAGTCTACCCGTTCATGATGAAACGATCTATTGTGGTGTTTTTTCGTGTCCAATCAAGTCCGATGGCGAACTTTTGAACGTAGGCGGTGGCACGCAAATTGGACGCCCTGCACTGTTTTCAGGTCCTAACCGCGAGCCCGGTCACACAATAGAAGCGTCGCTGAGTGACTGCGTTGGTAACATCGTCACGACGTTTGTAGCTTTCTCTAGGCAGTGGAATCGAATCTCTCTGGGGTGAAAACAAACCGCAGTACAAATGTGAAAGACGCAACATTTTCTTGGGCACATACACTCATTGAAGAGGGGACGGGTTGTTGGACTCTCCTCGCGTAATTAACAGAGCACGGCAGGGGGAAATGTGGATCGAGCGGAAGAAACAAGTTTCCAGAGGCAGAGTATAGAGTTTAGATGTTTTGCGGCATTTGCCGTCGTAGCAGGTTGGAAAGAAAAAAGTCCGCCGACCCATACTTTCCATTTCTCACCATGCGTCGTCCCTCACGTGACCTTCGACTCTCCCCCAAACAACGGTTGTCGATATTGCCTCTTCGAGATTCAGATCTGATCCTTGCAAGCCTCCCGTTCAACCGTTGCTCGGCCTGTGTGTGTGTCTTGCGACAATGCCGTGGTCCGATTTTCTGGTGAGAGCAGCTGCAGTACATGGCTGTGCTAAGAATAGGCGGGCAGGAGGTGAGGTCGAAGTGGTCGAAGAGGTCGGACGGGTCGCCTTCTTGGTCAGAGAAGCTCATGCTCTGCTGGGACGGCAACATGCCGCTCAACATCGACATATACGGGGGCAAGGATCACATTGGTCAGGTGAGATCTGGCTTTTGCTTTTCCTCCTGTTCCCCCCCCAATGTCGTTGGGGCTGACGGTGTCGCTGTCTTGTTGTTCTGTTGTTGGTCTGTTATCTTAGTTAACAGTGTTTGATGCTGCTTGTTGCCGTTGTCTCAGCTGTTTCTTGTATCCTGTCGTCTATGAAAAACAACACGCTGCTTCCTTTTATCCGCTCGTGAGTTGCCGCTGGTTCCAATCTGCGCAAGGATGGTGCCACAAGCGCCTACTTGAGCAATTCTCAGAGCCGGCGTGTCACATTCTGCTATCTAGGGGGGTTATTTTCTGCTACACCTACGTCGGTGTCGCGGGGTGCGCCAACCGCTTGTAGTTTTAGGAGTCTCCCCATCACGCCCCTGCTGCAGCATCCATCCCGAACCAAACACCCCAGGTCGTTGTGAGCTAGTCCCCAGACCCTTGGAACATGACCCCCGTCATTACCCTCCGCGTGACGCCCCCAACTCCCTGGGTTGGCCGTAACCTCCTTCCTCCAGGCGCAAGTCCCGCTGCGCAGCCTGCTCCTCAAGGAGAGTCAATCAGCAGAAGCCGGCCACGGCTCGAGCCGTGGCGACAGAGGAAGCGGTAGCAACTTGGGGGGCTTGGAGCCGGCGTCCCGCCTCCTGGACAACGTGCTCGCGACCCCGGTGCCCGCCGGCGGCGGTGGCGGTAGCAGTAGCGAGGCCAGCGACGACGGAAGACTGAGCTTCTTCGACGGCGGTGATCCCCAGGGGGATGGTCGGCCGGACGAGGTGGAAGAGAGCCTCACCAGTACAGTCCCGTCCCTGGTGTCTAGCACCAGCTCCGGGCCGCCGACCCTCAGCTCGCTGTCGGCGACCAGAACCGCAGCGGCCGCGGTGCCGTCTAAGGCGCAGGGCGGCGGGGCGGCGGCCCCCAGCCCGGTGCCGAGCATCGAGGCGGCAGCCGTACCGTCGGCAACAACAACAACAACAACAACGGACGAAATAAAGGCCTCGTCGGCGCTAACGACCGTCGAGAGCGGCGGCGGGGGGGGCGGAGGTAACTCCACGGCGACTTCCCCGTATGATGCCGGCGGCGGCGGAGTTTTTGGCTTGGCTGGGAGCGGCGCCCTCAAGGCCCGGGACGGCGACAAAAAGGCGCCGGGGGCTGGCGCCGCGGCCCGCGTGGAGAACTTGCTGGGAGAACCGAAGAGGTAAGTTGTCGCCCGAGACGTGCAATCTTTGGGTTGTGTAGCGATGTGGGGTGGGTTGCGGTTGCTCTCACGTTTCGGATGCACTTAGCGGTCGGACCGTTGACCACGCGTCCTCGAGAGGATGGATGGGGCATTTTTCGCTCAGAACCGATCACCGATCACCGAGGGGGGGGGGGGGTACTCATAGTCGTGCATGCCGTAGTCGTTAGACCATTCACCTCGCATCCCTACAAAGCCGGGACGGAGCACGCCGGGCTCTCACCGGACCAGGCTCTCACATCACCAAGCGCGAAGCACCGTGAGGTATTCGGCGAGTCGCATGAAGGGTGCGCTGCATCCTGCCAAGGGTGATCGGCATCTTGTGTTTTCTTCCGTGCGTACGGATGACAGCAGCGTATGACTTACTTTATTTTCGCACAACATATTTTGTGTCCTCTGGTCAAGAACTTTGATCACCGAACCGTAACATTTACTACCGCTGTCTGTCCCTCTCCGTTAAATTCCCTGCAGAGTTGTCGAGGCGATGAGCGCGTCGATCGAAGAGCTCCCGGGAGGCGAGCTGTACGTGTCCTTAGAGGACAAGAAAGAGGCCAACACGGGCGATCGGTGAGGGTTTAGTTACGCCGAAACCTGGCCTTGTATTTGTTGATGCTGCTGCTGCTGCTGCTGCTGCTGCTGCTGCTGCTGCCGCTGTTCCGATATTGCCCGCGGTACCATCGCTGCTGTGTTACCGCCGCTGGCGCTGTTCTCTCCTGCTGTTACCATTGTCGCTGCTGTTGCCCCACGTTGGGTTCGACGCGCGGCCCGAGAGCTGTTGCGTCGTACAACACTATTGTTGTGAAATTTTCTCGTTGTTTTCCAACGTTCACCCCCTCCCCCGCAACACGCCTATTTTGCCCCCCTCGCAGATTCGGTGGACTGTCTCCTTTGACAGGGAGCGGTAGCGTGGTGAGCAGCAGGGCGACTTCTCCTCGGCCCGTCCTTTCCAGCAAGATGGGTAGCAACGGGAACGTGAGCACCGTGTGCCGATACGGGGTAGTAAGCGGTTGGAATTGGGATTCAACGTACAGCTTGATTCGGCTCCTATGTACCTATTCGGCTCATATATGCATCCCTTTGCTGAGACGAGTCGTGACGCGCTGTTGATGAGCAATGCTAGGAGAGATAGAGATTCCCACCGCTATGACAGATAGGGTGTGGGTTTCCGAAACACTAATGCACCAGGCCTTGACACGATCCTTGCCGTCGTTGGAGACGTCAAAAGTCCATTGTTTTAGAGGATGGGCGTGGAGCTCTCATCTGTTGCCGGGCTCTGTCACTTGCCCGCCGGAAGTAAGGGGTGTGCTTGAAATATGTGTCACGTACTTGGACCCCGGTCGCCTGGAATTATGCTTCTTGATGGTTGTTTCGGATAGCAAGACCCTCTCGTTGGGGGTTCTTTAATCTCTTGTGGGCTGCAAACGGCCTTCGTGCATTTCGTTTCGTGCTATTTCCCGGGCTCACAAATGGTGCTCAGGTTATATTACGTTTGATGTAATGTTGAGCGTGAAGTTCTTGACTGCAAAGGTTTATTTTTATTGCGGTCACTATCTGTATTTATTGCACACAGGGCGGTAGAATACTAGAATGCTCTCTTTGTTGGCGATGTACGATGTGTGGACACCGAGCTCTGTTTGTGTACAAAAGTTTTTCGTTTCTTCTTGTAGACACTCAAGGCTGTCGCCGGGAAGGAGAGGGCACACGCGGAGTGCCGTTTTGGTCGCTTGTTCCCTAGCCACTGAGGGGCTGACGAATGCCTTCGTGCTTTCAGTACGTTTTGGCCGCCAGGTTTTAAGAGCGATCACCAGGCCCTTTCGAAACGCCCAATCTTGATTCATCACTTGTGGCGAACATTGCGCGCACTCAGCAGGCAACCGGAGGGCTGTCTTCCAAATCGTTCAACAACATGATGCTTAAGTTGGGCAAGAGCGGCGGAACCTCTGGCGGGAGTGGCGGAAATTTGGGGCACTCGCAAAGTCGCCCCGCGCAGGGTGGGGTCGTCATCAAGATGGACTTTGTACGGATAGAACACTGAAAGATGACGATAATACCCGGGCGGGGTTTGGGGGGGGGGGTGGCGCGCTCGCCCACTCTCACTCTTATATGTGCGGCATCCTCTTCCTCTTAAGGTCGAGCTACGTCAAACGACCAAGCTGAAGGGAAGTGGGTGGTCGGGGTGACGCTGATTCACGGTGGGGGCGGGGGGGATTCATTCTTCACGTTTTTTGGCAGGCACGACAATGTCCTGAGTAAAAGTAAATAGAAGAGCATGTGTAATGTTTTCTTTTCTTTTTTTTCAGTTCTTGGCAGTGGTGTGAGATGTTACTAGGTGTGTGTGTGTTTCTTCCGAGCGGTTTTTCTCGGACACTTTTACTATCCCCGCCCAAAGTTAAGAAAAAGCAGGGGTGGTTGCGAAAAAAAAACAAAGAAGAATACTTCTACGTACACATGCATCCTTGTTTTGCTTCCCAAGCGACCGCGAACATTCCCTTCCTGTCGTCTCTCTGCGAGGAGGAAGCGGGGTACCGGAAAAGGGTGTGGAACGATTTTTTTATGTGACGGTGGCGAGAACGCGGCCTGCCTGCGATAGCGGGGCCAGTTGGGTTGATGAATCAGATCAACCCAGATTAGGCATCTTCTTGCCAAGAGGGCTTGACCATGTACTTTGGAATGGTGGGGAAAACATGCTGTTTGTTTGTGGTAGCTTTTCTGTCACACGGGAGCGATATATACAAATATTACAACGCGGCAGCTGCGGCAAGCTAGGCTGGAAGCGCGGAGGGCTTGGGTGGGTGTGCGATTAGCGTGTAGGCGGTGTCAGGGGAGAGGCCGGCGCAAGCGTGTATCGTAGAAGAGAGAGAGAGAGGGAGATGACAACGCGTAACGCGTTTTGGCGATTAATTGCGGTTGCCACCAACCTCATGCCCGAGCTCGTTGCGCCCACTCTCCACCGGCCGTGTATGTTTTTTAGTTCCGGGTTAGGCGGCCACTAGAACCCGCGAGCGCTTGGAAACGAGCGGCTGCTGCTCGGCTAGCTTTGTGCTTCGCCACATGGCAGAGGGCTCGTTGAAGCCCGAACAGCTGCATGTGGACAAGTCGGTTTTTGTTTGAGTTTTTTTCGCGAATCGTCTGAGGCTGGATCATGGTGCTCGCGCACTACTACATACTGTGATACGAGCTGCTGGTGTTGGACTTACTGCGGGGTGCTTTTTTGTGCTGCTTCTGTGTGCAGAGATTCGTCGCCTGGAAGGTTTGGTGCTGTGTGTGTTCGTTTGCAGCACTTTTTTGTAGTTGAGAGACTTGTACCAGCGGCGCCCCATGGACAAAAAATCGTTGTTGTGTCTCCCGTGTTTAGCTATGTAGTAATAGTGCTTCTTAGCGCCTTGGTACTAATGTTTATTTCGGCACAGGTTGCGCACAGTAGTGTAGCACCAAGCGCTTTGTCGGATCGTGAGGAGAGGTAGTTTTGTTTTGTGTGTTGATGCACTCGAGTTGTTATTTTTCAAGGTTTGGTCGGGTGATCTTGGGTTAACCCAAGTTGGCTTAGTGTAGGCCTGGGGTGGCTTTACTTATGTGTTTATTGCTTGTTGTTGTTTGTTTGTTTGTTTTCGTTACTTACTGTAGGATGCTCGCAAGTCAGTTGTACAAATGTTGTTTATCTTTGGGCGTTAACTTTGGATAGATGTTGTAATCTACGTAGTACGCTTAGTCTAGACTTATCGCTCGTTACGTGGGTGCTTGGACACTCCCGTGTTTGTGTGCGTTTTTTCGCTCTTCGCGAGGGGACCGATCCCCCCGCGTCTTGCACAGTTTTTTCAATCGCGATGATACGCGTCTGCTGAACCATTTTTTTTTTAAGGATCCCGTAGAGATGGTGGTCTCTTCGTGTTCTTTGTTGCACAAAGACGAAAGAGAAGCCTGTGTGGCGAACGAATCCGTCTCCCTCTTAGTAGGCGCCAACCCGGAGCACGCCAATAAATCGGCACAGGGGGGGGGGGGGTAGTGGGGGCCACAGCTGAGGTACAGCCCTAAACACCCTTGTGAACAAGTAGGACGGGGATGTCGCGTTGGGCAGCAGCAGTTTGTTTGTCGAGACGAGGGAGAATAGGATAGGGAGGAGGGTGCTCGCGCGCTTGGCTGTGTGGCGTTGTTTTGTAGCAGTAGTTTTTGTACCGGTGTTTGTCAGGATTGCTTTCGCAGATGGACGGACGGACGTGGTAGTGGTGCCATGTCATGTCCCGAAACCACCCGAGCCTGTGAGGCAAAGAGTTGTACCTTCGCGTGTGATGCTTTCTGGAGACGCCGATGTTTGCGAGTTTTTCTTTCTTTTTTCCCCCCAAAAAACTCCTCTCTCGTTTTCGTGGTCTGGCACGTTTAAAAGCTGATCGTGGGCGCACGTTTGGTGGTCTGCTTGTGTATATGGTTCGGGGGGAAACAGAAAGCGTAGTAGGCGGATGCATACGAAAATCTGCCGGATGGAAAAAAGAATAAATAAACAAAGAGAGAGAGAGAGAGAGAGAGAGAGGTGCTAACTATTATTAATACGCATACGTCAGTCCGTACGGCTCCGTGAAGTACCGTCGGCCTGAGTACTGTGTCTTGTAGAGTTCCCCGTGTAGGCCCATATGAGTGGCTGCAACCACCATGCTTCCTTCACTTCCGTAGCAAGCATCCAGTTTTTGTGCAGGTGAAGTCTTCGTACGGAGTGTATTGGCGAAGGACCCGGGGATACCGGTAATATATGTGCTGGCCACCATCAGCTATTGATCATTGATTGGTAGAAGCATCTTCTCGTTTCGGCAAGCGTGTTGATCATGTCAAGCGTTTTGGCGTTGTGTGCTCGACGGTGGTAGCGGTGGTTTTCATGATCATACCCGTCAGCTTCCCAAATTAGAACATCGATGATGGCGTTCGAAGCAATCCGCGGATGAACCAAAAAGCGCATTATTATTGTTGATCCAGCTCCATGTTTGTCGGCGTTGGGCTTGAGCCGAAAACCCTTCTTTTCGTGCACCGCACGATTGGAACAACAGCGCATGGATGATGGTCCTTCTTTCTTCTCCGCCGCAGGCACCAGCCTTCCGCTACCGAGAGACGTCATGCAATGGAACTGTGCCTTGCGTTTTGGAATCCCCAGCAAAGCAACGCGCTCCACACGGCTACACACTTCCGCACTTGTACAATAATAAATGATGAAACAATTGCCTGTGCCACGAGATTATTTTGGAGGCGATGCGTTTTCCGCGCTGCCGGTGGTGGCCCTTCACCTCGCTCTCGGTTGGATGTGTCAGATACTAAGGATGGGACCACGGAGGCCTATAGTAGTGTTGCGAAGTAGACTCGACTTTCTTCCTGTTCCACGCCTCTTTGCACCACCTGTCGCTTCACCTCAGATGGAGGCGGCTCTCTCTGTGGATATCATTTCTCCGCAACTATTTATCAGGTCTTGGTCTGCATACAATACATAACACGTCCGACATGTCCAAGATTTTAGTCGTCACCAACCACCACGTTTTTTTACGACAAGACCGTTTGAAAGTGCACCCCAGGCACAGTCAGTCCTACCGTAGGCTTTGTTGCTTTTCACGAGTTCCAGAGCTCTACCTTACCGTATTAGCCGTTGGAAAACCGAGCGTTTCATTTTATCGCGGAGCATTGCGTTTCATCTACTCTGCGTATCGCATCATCAGTACTACTGGTGATGAAGCACCCCGCGGCCTGGTTCGGCACGATGGCAGAGAGAGGAGAGACAGACGACCCAACCACTAAATAAACAAAAACACGACTGAAAACTTCGTTGGCCCCCGTCTTTCGCCCCGGCATGACGTGTCTCCCGCCACAAAAAAAAAGCGAGTTGTTCAGATGGATCCTACCAAAGGGGGGAGGAGTCTGAAATTGGTGTTTGTTGGAGTTGATAGAAGAAGTGGGCATTTATATTATATGCCAAAGAGTATGTCTGCGTACGCGCAGGAGAGGAGGCATGCGCGCCGAGAGAGCCACAAAAAAAAAACGCCTCCTTCTGCTCTGTTGTTAGGTGAGCCCCTCAAAGTCAACCACCTTCGTGTAAGGATCAGAGACGAGGAACTTGTTCAAGAGGTTGTCTGCCAACACGATCTTGATCTCCCGCTCCGCAGGGCCAAAGATATCCTTGCGATCCTCCTGGAAATATCAAGTTCCAAGCGAAACAGACAGCAGCAGCAGCAGCAGCAGCATTAGATTATATCGTGTCTTGACAGATCGCAGAAAGAGAGGCGGAGGAAGAGCGCACCCTAATCCGCCGAGCACGTTTCGGCTGAGGGAAGCTATTTGATGGCGAATGAAGAAGACGAGCCTCCCTTCCTTGTGGGTGTTCAACCACCTTGCGGGAGGAGACAACCAACACCCACAAGTTTAACTTTAACCTCCAGCGTTTCTCTCCCTCCTCTCACCAGCTTTAGCGCGGCGTAGGCTGTGAACTTCATGTGTTGCATGATGCTGCGCTTCGTTGTGCTTGCGATATTCACTTCCGAGTGTGAACCGTCCTTGATGTAGTCATTGACAACGGCGAGGTAGCCTCCGAAACCTCCAAAGCTTTTCTCGGTTTCCTCGGCGGCACTATCAGCTATCAGATCCTTGAACTCCTCAACGTCGACGAGGAACTGGAAAGACTGCAACCCTCGAGAGAGAGAGCGCGTACCAAGGGCAAGGGCAATGAAGGTACGGGGTCGGAAGCAGGCGCGCAAGGACAACTAAAACTTCGTCGGCTCGACCAGTGCAAAGCTTCCTTACGATTTTCAACAACCAAATAATAGTACAATACAGACATTTATTTTGTAGATGTCACTGACAGACAGCAGGAGAACTGGAGAGGGCCACGAAGTGAAGTGATGCGGACGGAATCACAGGCAGGCGAAAAATATACTGCCCGTTGACGAGGAAAAAAACCGTCGGGCGATGAAAGCTCTTTTGCACACTTGTTCCACGTGTAGTATACAGATCTCCGGAAGCTAACGCGACGACGACGCTCGGTCGACAAACGAAGTATGATTCACTGTGTAGACCTATAGGCTTAAAATGGACTCAAAGTACGCCCCCCGGTATCGAAGGCGTTTTTTCTCCCACTCACTGTCTAGACTTCATCAACACATCCCCTTCGACTGCTGTGGGTACATCTCGAACGGGCAATTACTGTAGTCTGTGTGCTGTAAGTGCTCATTTTCTAAAAGCGAAGGCCGACCGAGAGCACCACAACGAAAGAAGGAACGCGTTTGCCTCCGCCGTCTCTATTTGCTGTTCCTATGCCCTGTACAAGCCGAAACTCGGGGTGAAACTGTTGGGTAAGCCGAAATCAAACCAGCAGAACACGAGTCGGCGCTGACAAGCCGAAAACACACCAAGTCACCATTGACTGCAGTCCGGTTTGATTTCGGCTTCGCAAAAAGCCGCCGAGCGTTTTTGTTTCCGCACCTCGCCACAGAGAGACCTTCTGCAGAACTCGCCAAACGCCTCCCGCAGGGGCTGGAAGTTCATTATGCTGGTGAGCCGGTTGTCGTCGAGGTACACCTCGCCGTTCCAGGGCAGGCTGTTGTTGTTTTCGTCCGCGGCGACGCCGACGCGGATGTTCTTCGTGGACCACCTCCTGTACGGCGACGGGAGCTGAAAATCCTTCCTGCTGCGCCTCCGCGCGGGGATGTTGCGCTCCACCTCTCGGACAGGCCTGATGTTTCTGCGAAAGAAACATCAGGTGTTTCAGCAAGTCTTAAAGAGGGATGAGGTGGAGCATGGGGGAACTCTCGACGTGTGGGTCGCAACAGAAGCTCGGGAGGCCGGGCCAAGCCAGCCTTGGGTGATTGTAACATGAGGCACCCATCAGAGGAGATATCCCTATGTGTGTTGATGGGCAGAACGTACTTGCCTTTCGGGGACTCACGCCTCGTCGCGGCGGTTGGTTGTGTTTTTTTTTGCGAAATTTGTGTGGCTGTTTTCTATTTTCTTGCTCTACTGGTGGACAAAGCTACTATTATACACAGGTACACAGATAGATCGAGATCTCCGCGTGCTGTTATTTTCTGCCTTTCGCCAAACTTGCCAATAGGTTGATGAGGATTGCGGCATCTTTGTCTCGCAATGGTTCCTGAAAGCAGCTTGGTCGCGGGGCGGCACGGGTTTGTAACACGGGCACGCTTACCCAATGAGTAGTCCCACGCTGACAAGAGAAACCGGCAGTCAGTGGCGAACAACTGCGCTTTCGATAGGATTTATAACAGCCCCGTTGTCCTTCGAAAGTGAGAAAAACGGCCTACTTGAGCGAAGAAAAGTCTCGGTGCTGCCTGTGGCGGTCAAGTTGCTGCAAATATGTGGAACTCACGTCAGCCAGACGATTGGCGGGTGCGACAGCGCCATCAACACGATGGTGTAGTACTTGTATTCCATTGGGGACATCGAGACGTAATGAAGTCCTGCGTGCACACCTGGGGAAACAGGACCGGGAGGGAGGAGGATTTGTGCGAATTGCCGAGAAACGGTATCAAAGCAGTCACCTTCGTGGAAGCAAGGTAGATGCGAGACAGATCCTTCCATGGTGGGAAGTTTTGGGGGTCGGGTACACTCGCACGACTCTCACTTGTGGGGGGGGCAGTGACCATGGGAGCTCGTACATCTACATAACCTGATATTCCGCGGAATTAGCAGACACCCTGGTGTCTCGGCCCTAACAGTAACAATAGTAGCACCAGCAGTACCAGCAGCGGAGTGGAGCTACAAGACAGACAGGGTCGACCTTACTCAAAGGTAGGCTGAGAACGAGCGAGATGTGTTGCGACGCACTTTCCCCTTCGCTACATGCCAACCCTTTGCCATAAATATCCCCGGTTCTTCTGTTTCAGAAGTAGTCTAGCGTTGCAAAAAGGGATCGCCTGAGAACACCCCGGCAAGCAAAACTCACACGACATGAGCAGCAGAAGCATCCCAACAACGCGGATGTCCGTCGACATGTGCAACAAATCGTCGACCTTGTTCAGCCGGCCGCCGACTAGCACACCCGCGACGACCGTGGTTGAACCTGAAAACAGCTCCAGTGTCGCCAGCACTCCCCCAGTCCTACTCCCCGCGATAGGAACAAAGCAGGGGCGGGGGTACCCGGTGTAGCTTAAATCAATCAAGTGAATCGCCTTTTGGACACGCACGGTGGGATGATGCCACTATTCCGCCGCCACTCTGGCGTGCACGTGCGCGGCACGAAATGGTGCCCCTATGAGGCCAACCCTGAAACACAACACACAGCCAACAGCCCTTGGATACCAACCCAATCTACTGCTGTAGAATGTCTCGGTCCCAAGGGCCGAGAGTGGCACAACAATGACGGCTGACTCTCCGTCTTCACGTTTGAACATCCGTGCCAACGCTGGCTGCGGGTTGTTGTCGAGTGGCCAGCGGACAGAGCCTTGACGTACCTCGATACTCCCACCGCCGCCACCCCTGACCACAGCGCGCCCTCCATCAGGATGTACGCGCAGACCAAGCCATAGACCAGATCCTTTTCTCTCGTGAAACGCCCCCACTTGGCCCTTAGCTTGGGGAAGAACATCACCAACAGCCGAACCGCCGACATGACCAGAGCGAACTCGGATATCAGCAGCACCGGGAACTCGATCATGTTCGTGACCCCATGACTCGCGACGAGTCCAGAGTGGCCCCAGTGGAGGGTGTGGGCGAATAACAAGAACTCGAAGCGCAGCGTGATGCAAAGCCCGAGTGTGCATGCCAGGAGCGGCGACCTTTGATTTTTCGGGGAGAAATTGTAGATGCGTTCAAAAGGGAGGGGAAAGTCAACACTCATGACAACTACTGTAACTGGTGAGAGGATTTGCTTCCAGGGGGGAGGTTGGGGGCTAAGTGTCCATGAACTACCGTTGTATACGATACAAGATAAAACGCGCCCTGGGCCGATTTTCAAAACTCGATTTATCAACGGCAGAGAAGGTTACAACGCCGAAAATGGCGGCGTTAAAGCCGTCTGGTCGAGAGCTCTCCGAAAACGTATCGTTTCGTTTATGAATCCTCTTCGACGTCGAATAATCGAGCTCTGAATATCGGTCCAGGGGGTGTGTTATCTTGTGTCGTATACGGTATTTGTCTTGCACCGTGGATGAAAGGACCCGGCATATATTTTCCTAGACCAGCACCCCCAGTGTTGGGAACAGGAATTTTAAAATAATTCTCATCGTACGCGAAGGGCACCAGGTGTCATACGGCTGTGAGTGTTTCAGACTCAAAGTGGGAGATCTGTGGTGCCGACACTCGGCAGCGTTCGTACGCACACTTGAGCATTTTCGCTTTCTTCCTCGACCTCCCAAGACTTGGTCGTCGTGTTGTTTCTATACGGCTAACCGTGGCTTTTCACGCGCTGTCTTATTGGCCTTGGTCTGGCTTTATTGTACCTCAGCACGATGAAGAAGTTTCTCCTCAGTGACCACATCGCGGCAATGAACCCAAGGCAGACAAAGCTGTAGACCGTCGCAGCCGCTAGGATGAAGATGTCGATCGCAAGGACGTAGCCATCAGATCCCATGGCTGGACAGAAGTATCGTTGTGCTGGTGGCGACGACAGGATGACGAAGGCGGCAAGCGTGAGCGGGGCAGACAATAGATACAGTTGGAACCACCTATCTATCTATACAAGCACGCGGTACAAACAAATCAAAGTGCGTCATTGCACCACGCTACACACCTTAGACTATGCCGCTGTCTCAGTGGTGCTGTTCGACTTATTTCTCGGGTGAAACTACAGTACTTTACGTGACAGTGTGATGCCCAGGTCTTCGAGAAATTTCATGCATAGTATTGTCGAAGAGAACATGTCAGAGGTTTCTCTCTCTGCCCCATCGCGACCATAGGCAAGGGCAATATTATCAACCGAACCCATGGCAGTTACTACCCTTGAGCGCAGGCTGGTGAAGTATCGAGATTTTATTGAGACACCGCGAGTTCCTCAAGAAAGCCTCACAGGGGTACATGTGCAAGGAATCGGTCATGAAGGTGGCTTATCTTCCGGGTCTGAAAATCAGCAAGCGGGAGGGGGGGGCAGTCGAGAGCAAGGTTTGATTGCCAATTATAATGACTCGAGGGTTTTCCGCCGCATCCAGACAGGACTGTTCCTCCGCGTCCATGAACCCGAAATTCGAAAGCGCACTGGTACTTGTTTCTGACGGCATATTATTGCCATGGTCTACTGTAAGTACTCGGGAATACGACGACTAGCCTACGCGTCAGCTGCGACAAGATGGGTTCCCTGTGCTGGATAGAGCAGTAGCCTGTGGAAGGTGTACCTGGTACACGTGTTTCTGGAAGATTGAATGCGGCGAGGACACAAATGTGTCGAAGATCAAACAAGGAAGGTGTTATCTGTGACGGTATGTATGTATGTTTACTAAGAGAAATCCTATGTGTGTGTTGTGTTAGTGTGTACACTCGTCTAAAGGCACCCAGTAAACACACATCATGGTATTCAAGCAATAACGACAAATAAATGTAGAGTTGATTTGAAACTCCACGTATAGACTACAGTTGTACGTCAGCTTACTACGGAGAATTAGCCCGCCTTTTCCTATGTCCTCGACGGTTGTGTGCATAGAAGCTCATGACGAAATGTGGCATGTATCTCGTCACATTCACATAGTCTACTAAACTAACTGCATGTGTTGTAGCAGCTACGACTCTCACCTTAGTATGCATCTTGTAGTCAAATCGTGCACTCCTTATTTTCCCCGCCGTCTCCGTATCATCAGCTTCCGAGGTATGCAAGCAATAGTCTACAACAGGTCAAGCAGTCCGCTGTTTGTGTTGTTCACACAACTTGAAGCAACATCATCGCTAAAAAAACTCATGTCATCGATCGTCGTCGTACCGCCTGTTTTGGTTCCTAGCTGAGTCTCGAAAGGCCTGCTGACGCAGTCGGTCGGCAGCTGCCGTCAGTTGAATTATTTTCTTCGTGGTCGCTGTCGTCGAATAGCCAATCAAAAAAAGAGCAGTTTCAAGGCAACGAGAGAAGGCAACGCCTACCACCATCTGGAAACCCCTACCCGGCAGGTCGTCTCACTTACAAGTACAGCAGATCTATTAGTACACGTCCATGTACCACTGAACGAAACAAGTATCTTCTCAACATGGTCGTACCATATCTTCTGAAGAGACAACGTGAGGAAATAGATCTGCATAAAGATAGATGATGCACGTTGAATCTGCTTCGCATAATAAGATTTGTTGACGTCACTTCACGTACATACAGGCACGCATCACATCATGATCGATCGCCAGCCGATCACCGGCACAACGCTGAGCGACGACACGAGACACATCTACGTCCTTCCGCCGCTCACTGGATGTATATATATAGTTGCACGGAACGCATACGCAAAATACGATTGCATAATAACGTCATCTTCTGACTTTAGTATCTATCCAAAGCCGCCATGACGTATCAACACCGATCAGCCGGTGGCTCCCAGAGCTCCGTTGGCAGAGCGCGGCTCTGATAAAGCCGAGGTCCCGGGTTCGAACCCCGGTGGGAGTATACTTTTTCACCTTACCCGAGTAAAACCTCGATTTTTTGCGTGCGTGCCGAAATAACGGAGCGATATGCTCGACATTCCAGAATGCGCGACTAAGTGCAGTTAGTTATTGGCTGTTGTGTCAACATCATGTATTATGTAGGATGTACGTAAAGTGTGCATGTTGGATAGGTTTCCTCTGTAAGCAAGTAATTGCAGAAAGAGACGCGGAACGTCCAAACCTAACACAGCGCGGGATTTTTAGTATTTAGCCCGCGCGGATGCACAACGAACATCACCCCTTCTTGATTGACACACCATACAATCCCATGCATCGCCCATCGGTCGCGAGCGAATGAGCTAGCAACGCTGCTGCTGCCGACTATACCGTCCTGGAACTTGCGTTCGTTCGTTCGTGCGTTCGTGCGTTCGTTCGATCGTTCGTTCACCGTTTGTTTGCGGTGGTTCTGACGACTGCGATGATGGATGATGATGGATGATTAATGATATTTAGCAGCAATAGAGCGGCAAAAATTATAGATTTCGATGTGCTGCGCCTGTCTCTGCCTCTCTCTCTGTCTTGCCTCAAATGTGTCTTTCGCAGTGCAAAGCAAAAAAAAAAAATGCCTGCCGGACCGATGGAGAAAACAACGGCGGGGGCGGCTAGCCAGACGGACTGCTGCTCGCTCCCGCTTTTTCTCGGCTGGTTGATTGACGACGGGTAACGCCGCGAGAAGAAAAACAGAAGAAGTGGACACGACAAAAACTTGGAACTCCTCGAGTGCACATACATGTGTGACGTTTACCTCTAGCACTCGGCGAAGCCCAGGATGGTCTTAAAGCTTGTCCCTTCCGGACTGCTGCACCTACTGGTGATGAATGACTGTACTCGGAGTATGTCGTTATTGCCGTCCATCTGCTCAAATCAACTGCGCCAAAACAAGCTCCGCGTACCAAGAAAACGCCTGAAACATGCGCAGTCGACAAGAGGTCGAGTGCCCAACACGCCAACACCAACGGAAATCGCCGGCAGGCAGTGCACTGGATTGAAGGTGCTCTTGTCAATACTGGCCAACACACAAAGAAAGGCCAAAGACAGCAATCAATGCCGGCAGCCACTGCACTGGTAATCGCCTCCGCGGCATGGAACAAAGGCGGCGAGCTTTTCCCCGGACTGCACGGGCGGCAGGGAAAACAGACGACAGGTAAACAAGGGCGCTAAAAGCTCACGGTAACATTGCCTAAACAATTCTGTCTGCGGTTGGCTCGATCTATACCCGCAGTCCTAGCACTTTCATCCACACAACTTTTGCGGAAAGATCGTTCGCTAGCTTGGAATAAATTCCAGACGCAACGGGACATCAGCAAAAGGCCGAACTCTTTGCTTCTAAACAAAAACACCTGTACCTCTGTCCATCAGCGCTTCACAATTGAACACTTGCGTCCTATATTTCAAGCCTCGGCCTCTCCAAGACGTGCCGTGACGGGAAGAGCTTTCAAGAAACCACCCGGCAACAACCCACCGACCACATCTACACTTATCCTGGGCGACTACCCCTGTGCTTGTACAACCAACAGACCACACGTGCACTTATCCTGGGCGTTTACCCCCTGTGCTCGCTGTTGTCGAAGCAATGTGGTCTACTGCAGTTACTGATAGATTTCGGATTGGCAGCACACAGTGCATCTTCCGAGAAGGAGCACACATCTATTTGAGGGCCGTCGGAACCGGCTACTACTGCTGTACGCACGTGAAAATATACTAAACCATCATCTATGTCCCGCCCAGCTCATCGGCTTCAACCGACAGGCAGCGGCGGGTTTAAAACCAGCAGTGGAACAAGACAAACACAAAAGAAGCAAAGGCAAGGCTTAGACAGCAGCACCAACCTTCCCACCCCTGGCGCGCTGCCCCCCCTCCCCCCCCCCCCCCCCCCCCC